CCCTTAGGTGGCTACGTTTCAAATTGCAGTTTTGTTCTGGCCAAATGCACACAATTTTTGATTTTTGCAGTGGTGAAGGAAGAAGTTACCAGTGGGAAGAAGAAGATTTCTGGAAATTAACTCCAGACGTGGCTTTCGGGAGAGCCTAGCTACCCTGCGTGAGGCCCTGCCTGCTCTTAGCTCTGCACACTAGTACCCTCCTCGCTGGCACACTAAGCCTTTGCCAAAAGTGCAGTCACTAGTGCTTTCCCACACAAAGTTACACATTATTGAGCAAAATATGCAAGCAGTTTCATAGCAAAACATGGCATCACAACAACTTCCGAAGGTCACATCCTCTAAGATGCCACACATACACATTGGTATATTCCTATAAACAATTAGGTACATTTACACAATTTCCACGGTCTGCGTTCAAACAAATTAGACTGTATAAAGGTTGTCCGTTGTGTATATACTACAGCTCTACAGTTAGCAAATTAGGCAGCATTCAAAAATGGGTCTATAAAGACTAGAAATTCAAGAATAGCCATGCAATTGTCCATGTTACGGAAACGCTTCTATTTTGGCTGTTGCAAACCCCTGAAATGTCCGTAACTTACAGCCAATTAAATTCTTCTGTAAAAATTGTATTAGTTTCCAAGGCAAAATTAACGAAACGTATGAAAAACGGTAAACAGCTTCTGCAGTGCTTCTTCTGTGTGTCTTGAAGATGAGTAATACATTATGGTGAGGCTGATAAGGTACTCCCCTTCTATCTTCCCAAACTAGGAACTACTCTTTACAGGATAGTATCAATATATACACACAGTTTAAAGTAATTTATATTATTAAAATTAAGTTAAAGTATTGTTCAAGTTACAACAGTAAGTCAGATATAGATCACAGTATAAAACTTAAAAATATAAAGCAAACACTTTCCTTTGTTTAGTATTTGACAAGAATATATATATATATACCTTAGTAAGCTGGGCCAGAGAAATAGATGCAGAAGAGTCATCAATCTGTTCACAAAAAATTAAACACATATTCAAGTTCCACAATCAAAACATAGCAATAGTTAAGCCTCTATTGAAAGTCTGCACTTGTCTGTGTGTTGCTGGAAGAGGTAGGCATTTCCAGCCTTGTTCAGAACAACTCAAACCAGTAACAACTTAACAGTGTCTATGTGATTAATGATAATAAAATAAATACCCAAATCTATTTGAAAACAGCTTATTACTCCAGAGCATTTTACAGAGGGGCTCTTGTCAAATGCACAATAATGCTTAAAATCAAAGGGGTAAGAAAACTGTCAGCTTTTAGTTTATATATTAAAAAAAAAAAATAGAAACCATCTCTGAGAAGGGAGCATCACTGCGGGAAACGGAGACCCTCCGTGCAAGCCAATGGCTCGAGGGGCCGCCAGCTCCAAACACACGTGATGATGGTTTTTGGGAAGCAGAGCTGCCTACCGAAATCGGGCCGAGGCTGAAGCGGGAGCTCTGCGCCCTCCTCCAGTAAGTTATAAAAACCATAAACCAAATCACTACACCCCACAAAACCACACGCAGCAACCCACAGCATCACACGCCAGCAGCCCTAAGAGTGACCCATCACCTACTGCAGGAAAAATCTGCAAAAACTACTGCATTAAATTACTGAAGAAACGGTGGCTACTGCAACAAGACAGAACAGCCTGGAAAAACGAGCTAGCTGCAATCTCTATTTAGATGGTAGCCCATTCTGTAAGAATTAGCTTGGAAAGTGAGAACTTATTTTCTTTCCTATGAGACTAAAGAAGTTTTTAAATAGCAGCTCACAGCTAACTAAAGAATATTTCTGATGAAGGAACTCGGCATGGGGAGTGCAATCCTGTCATTCTTCTCCCCACTGTGAGCACTGTTCCTCAAGTCTTCAAGTCACTAGTTAATAAAAGGTTCCAGATAAGTGTTTGAGTGCCAACATTACATCTGGAAAAACTGCAGAGATAAGTGTTTGAGTGCCAACATTACACTGCAGTTTTTCCAGATGTAAAAAGGGCAATTTCTAACTGTTTCCTTTTCCAGGATATTGAATTATGCAAGCAGCAATAAGTTTACACAAAACATTTCCAAAAGATATTCAAATCATTGTTTATTGTGTCTCAAATTGTTCCCCCCCAAAAAAGTGGAAGTCTCACTAAACTGTAGTAAACTCCTCTCCCAGGAAGGTCACCAAATTGGTCAAGAAAAATAAATAACAATGAAATCCCTCCTTGGAACAGGCTGCTGTCCTACATTACCTAATGTGGGGAAAGAATTCAAGAGCAGTTTAACTGCGCAGACTCTGGGGTGGCAGGGCCACAAGCTGCCTGCGGTAGATGACTCCTCACTCCAGCAAAGGACTTAATCATTCCTGCCACACAGAGGGACATTTGTGGATGGAAAACACACCCAGCATTACTATACTACTCATTAAATTTTTGAAAAGGTCCTTTCGAGGAGAAGGCTCAAATCTAAAATAAGAGCTCCTCTGCCTTGAGAGTACCGTGCCAAGATCCAAGTTTCCTCCTTTTCAGAGTACTTAGTTCCTAGCCACGCTAGCAGAAGCCTAATTAACCAACCTCGTGCTCCCTAGGGTCCTGCTTTTTACATGTGGCAATAAGGAAGCCTGGGTTCTGTCACCACACGGAGAATGTCACTGCTATCCCCCCACGGGTCTGCAGAGCCAACAAAGATCCGAGAAGCTTCAGCTGGAGCCTAACGGTTTAGTGACACATTAAACAGTGCAGGATTGATCCGTAACTGAAGCATAGCAGTTAAGGAACTGTTAGTTCTTGACAATATAATGCTGCTGCCTAATAAAATACAACAGGCAACAATCTAGCTGCCGTTGTCCGATTCAGCACGCTGCCCAACAGCACCTTAACAAAAACCACCACCTCCCCCCAAAAACAATCTCCAGAAATGACAACCAACGTATTAGTTCTTTCATACAGAAGAAAACAGGGAAATCAAGATAAAGCAAGGGAGAAAGGGAAATAAATGGTGAAGAAAACACTGCAGTACATCTACTTTTTAAATTACCCCAAACCTGAAAATCTGCCTTAATTGAGCATTAAGCCAGGAAGGGCAGCAGTCATGTTTGATGCTGCTGAAGCAAAGGACATGACTTCTGTTTCTAGAGCCCCTAAGGACAACCAGCCACCAGGAATACCTGCAACCAGGGAACCACTAAACCGAGGAGGAATTGCTCTCTTGATTGGGCTGTAATGGTAACACAACAGGACAGATTTAGAAGTGCAGAGTGACAGCTACCATGAAAGAGCAGGACAATGAAGGAATAATCAAGCCATGAGCTTTTCTGAACCCGGTATCCTAGCTCATTTTAATTTTGCTGTTTATGCTTTTACTGTTTAACAGTAGTAATAGGCCAGCTTTCCAGTAACTTGTTCCTACTACAATATCCAAAGTTCTGCTTCAAAATATTACATATATACAATCTCTGTGTACTTTAGACCAAGATCTGATCTAGCTTTAAGAATAAAACTAATTTTGCCTCCAGTAATGGAGGTGTTTGAGACTTCTCTGCCTTTCAAAAGTCATGGCCTCTGACTTGCATAGACGGAGGACTGGAGGGATCCAAGGAGGTTTCCCCCCCACTATTTCTACCCACAACCCAACTTGGGTACAGCTAAAGCAAACAAAAGGGTAATATTTTTGCTTCACTTTCCATTTACTTTAATTAGTTTCAAGTAGGATCTCCCAACCCCTTCCCTTTTAGGCTTTTTCATAAATCTATATTAGATCATGGTAAGATGCTACTTAGAAATGTAATACAGACATGCCAGGGAACACACGAGGCTAAAAGAATGTTAACTTTATTTATGAACATGTGATTTGTGCTCATACACATGCCAGTAAACAAAAAGAAAAGTAACTGTTTTCAAGAAATAAAAACCCATCTGAATTAGACCAAATGCCATAAACGTGGTTTACATAAATGCATTACATTAACTACTAGGGTCACTGGGCCAGTTAAACTAGCACGAACTTGTAATGAGAGGCATTTATGTCCAAAAAAATTTGAACCAATCAGTGATAGAATTATGGATGTCAGATTTAGACTTAGTGCTTTTAAACCTACATACAAGAAGATTTGGATTTTGGGCTGATTGCATACCATTCATCAGAACCAGAGGCTGTATTCTTCCTAGAACACAGACCCAGAGTTCAGGAATTTCTAGGTTAAGTTATCCTAACAGCTTAGCAAGTGATCAGATCCAATGATCCAGGGTTAGTGTAATGCCTCACACCAGTCTAGTGAAGAAAAGGCAGTTATAATTGAAATAAAGATGGAAAATAAAAACACCGAGTAGTAACTTTTATATTAATAAGGACTGCTTTGAAATGTATCATTATACATTAATATTCAACCAAACGGCATATCAAGGTCTATGACATCCAGTGAAGTATTTCCTTCTGTTACTTATCTATATTTTAGCAGCAGAACAAGAGGGTATTTTCAAG